GACAGTTTACAGATTTCACAATGCCAATCCTCCGGAGCACCAACATCATACATAAGCCTTAATCGATTTTCAGCGGGATGCCCACCTTGTCTGTGTAGAGTGTTGTAGTCAGCGACTGAAATGTTGGCTTGGGGCTGGATGAAGTCGTCAGATGAATCAGAAAGAGACATGCCTAAAGTAATTTGAAGTTCAATCACTTGATTGACAACATGACCTATGAAACCACCTTTACCCGCCTTTCTCATAATAATGTCATCCACGCAATTTTCTACGCTATAACCATCCATGATTAAGGCTCCCATGCTTATCAAACAACAACCTAAGTCCGGAACATGTAAAGCCTTCAAGATGATTTTGTAATCAGCTGATTTACATACAATATCACCTTTACCGGCTATGTGAATGTCTAGACCATTCGCTAGAGTGACGTTGGATGATACACGCTCATAGTTGATGAAGAGATCTTGATCTGGTACCATATGATGGGAACAACCAGAATCAAGAAGGATAGCATTATTTGGAGAAGACGTGACCATAAAGGCTTGGGCTTCAAAGAAGTCAGTCGTAGCCACAGCTACTGCAGCACGAGGTCGATTGTTGTTACGACGATTCATGTTGGCTGGTTTCAACTCAGGATGAAGTTGCCAGCACGCCGCTGCCGTATGGCCTTTGACCAAGTCGTTGTGACGACCATCTGAACAATAAGGGAAGTTACATGATGGAGGAACAGAACGTTGAACGGAACGAGTGTGAAGAGCTGCCAATGCAATAGCAGAAGAATGATTTTCTTCATCTTTGATGTTTACGAGTTGATCCTCGAGATAAGTTAAGACCTTTTCAGTGGTCAATGGGTGCTCCTTTCGGAGGAGGGTTTTGGTGATGTCCATCGATGATGGTAGCTTGGTGACAATTGTTTCGCCAAGGTATGCTTGATCGATCATTTTGATTCCATCAACAGCTAACATGCCTGCTAGAACGTGATGTGTTTTGGAGATGTAGGTTTCTAGATCGTTGGTGTAGGTGAGATCGGTGAACCTCAGATAGGCGCGAGCTTGATTCTCGCTTGATGATGATTGAAAATGATCCTTCAAGGTTTTCCACATCTTGACTGGATCACTTACAGCGTCCTTACTCATCACACGGATTCGATTGCCTTGATCGATACATCCAAAGAGAATCCCGGCAACTCTTTTCTTTTTGAAAAGAAATTTTTTGAGAGCTTCGGGATCGACGGCCTTCATAGGAGCGATGAGTGGAGTATTGATGTCGATGAAGTCCTCAAGACCCAAGGTCATGAGATGTGAGAGAACATCTCCTGCCCATTTGACGTAGTTGGTTTTTGCCAGCTTCGGAAAGTGAGTCCGAGCTGAGCCTCCCCCGCTATTTTCGTTTGACATCTTCAAAATTGGTGAAGATGTTCGAAAATTTCGAGAATTTTGAAAGAATCGATTTGAATTTTAGGAACGAGATTTGATAGCGCAGAGATGAATTTATCGGAGCGCTGGGCTCATAACCAAAGAGTTTCAGGTATCTGGAAACAGTTAAGATCAGACTTCAGTCTTTGACAAAAGACTGATGGTTGATCGAAAACGAAATCACAATCTAAATGAGAAGATTGTAAAAACAATAATTAAGTTCGATGAGAAAAAGAGAACAACATTTAGAAAGAGAAGTTGATCTATATATAATGTGATCATCGAGCTTAATGAATGACGTCATGATGTTAGAAAGAACTAGTAATGCTCATATTACCACAACCTCCATTAGACGCGTAATGCATTCTTTGGAGTCGTCGCTACGCGACACTCAATTTCAGGAAAGTTTGGATGTCATACATACAGCTATTCACGAAATTCGTGTCCTGTTTGCACTTTTTTTTTCTTTTCCCCCCCCCAAATACAGCTGACGTGCAGCGCAGGAAACCTGTATCACACCGTGGATTTGGTCAACCCCGAACCCCGCGGGCCACTTCCTCCCACTTCCTCCCTCTGATTCTGTGCTCGCCACGTTGCAAATTTTCACACCCAATCCGTGATCATGATCGATCCCTACCAACTTATCTACTCCACTCTCCTTCAATTCACATACGAATCACAAACTGGGAATCAAGTTAGTAAGTGGATATAAACTTCCTTGAAAAGCTATTATCATCGGTCTGAATTCTGGTTCTGATGTGTTTGTAATCTTTTTTCTTTGAGGTTATGGAAGAATATAGTCACTGGTTCATGTCACTTAAAGCACATCCATTCGGAACCAAAAAAATAAGTAGTGATCCAATCTAATCAAACCAAAATCAATCTGATCAATCAAATTATCAAAATGATAATGGTGGTGCTATCAAATGCTTTCCTGACGCATTCTGATTACTTGATTGATATTCTATAGGCTCACTCTTCAGTATCTGGAGCCATCCTGAACCAAGGAGTTCAGTGTGGAATTGATGACAGATCAACCAAACTTGAATACCTAGATATCTAAATGTTTTGAGGTGATGAGTGATTGGTTTCTTAAATGGATTCTTTACATTTGAACAATGTAGCCTTTCGAAAGACTTTTCATAGTTGATTTTTGTGTTATCAAGTTCTTGAAAAATTTATGATCAATATTATGCTGTATCTTTTTCTCATCAGTTCACGCCTTCAATCTCATTTTCCTAATACTGCTTCAAACACTTCATAATTCTTTGGTAGAATTAACAACCTGGTCAAATCATCACTTGGGTGGATTTGCAAAACATGACTTGAGGGGAGATATATGAAAGACATATGGACGATACACATCTTAAACATCAAAAAATTGATTTCTTGTGACAACTTCGACTTGCAGCAGTTACTGGCTTTGGTCTCTGCACCATGAATTCCAGTCTAAACATCCAAGGATCTCTCAGATGAATAACCTTGGTTCATCTCATGCTATCCTGAGTCCAGAGACCGCTGAAGCTTTAGATCTCCGAGGCGTTCAAAAGGAGCCATTTTGCTTGCAAAAACATGTTTACGGATCTGATGGCGCGAGCGATGTTGTACTCATCAAATTCGAAGACGGGATGATTGGCCTTTTCTAAACAAGTGTGAAATTGAATTGATTGCATATCACATCGACTAAACAAGTAAAAAGAATGATTGGATACGATTGAATAACTAATTATGTGTTTGGCTCCAGAGTTGTAAGTCATGTTGTGGGCGCGCTCTAAATTTTTGAGGCGCGCCCAGGCGCGAAAAGTTGAATTTCAGCAGGCGCGGGCGCCACTGGGGCGCGTGAGGCGCGCGCCTTTTGCAAAAAAACCCCAAAAACTCTCATAAAAATTATTTGTACATACAATAAAAAGATCAGCAGGGTTCTGTTGAGACAAGACTCCATAGGACTCCATCTTCAAACTCCTCAAGTGCTCCAACTCCCAAAAAGTAAGTCCGCTGAGGTTCCAAGTCTTGGGACATTTTGCTTTTGATTTCGATATTAGGATTGTTGTTTTTTTCGCTTTCAATCTTTTTTGAGTGATGCGCAAGTGATGATAGCTCGACTTGCGATATCATTTCAGGTGAGTTGAAGTCATCCGCTTGCAAGACTTAGTCTTGGTAGCTGCCATACACGTGAAAAGGCTTTCAACGCCACCAGCATGGGCTACCAGTTTGAGCAGTTTGATGGCAAACAGGCGGATCTGATTTGTAGGTAGCGAAAATCATACATAAGGCATTGAAGATTGATTGGTTTGGATTTAGAGGAGGGTCTTTGACTTGTCCATTTGAAGCTTATACAGGATACTTTTGCTACCTGCAGAATAACTTATATACAGGCGCGCCCCTACCCATTTTGACCTTTTAGGGCGCGCCTCGGCTCGCCCGCGCCCAGGCGCGCCTTTTTCGCGCTTTTTGCGCCGCGCCCACAACATGAGTTGTAAGGGAAGTAAACCAGTGACTAAAACTTCAAAGAAAAAAGGTTTACAAACGCATAGAAATCAGAATTTGAAATGATGATATCAGTTTTTCAAGGAAATTTATAATCACTTACTAATGGATATATCTTGATCGCTATTTCTTTCCATGGTGGTGATTCATCTTTAATTAACTCTTTACCTTCACATTTGATTTCAAGTCCTGTAGATTCTGCTTTAGCTTTTGACATCCATCTATACTGTATAAAAAAAGGAGACTCGGAATCTCAGTTATTTATTCATATAACATTTTGAAGAGATGAGAGAGATGTAAACTTACAGATTCATATGTGAATTGAGGTTGATAAGTTGATGAGTCAATAGTGAGAGTGAACAGCAATCAATCGTGATCACTCGGCATGCGGAGTCGGTGTGAAAATTATCGACGTGGCAAGCACCAAATCGGAGGGAGGATGTATCTCAGGAGATCCCGGGGTTCGGGCTGTTCGGGGTTGACCAAATCCACGGTGTGATACAGGCTTGCTGCGCTGCGCGTCAGCTGTATTTGGGGGGGAAAAAAGAAAAAAAAAGTGCGAACAGGACACGAATTTCGTGAATAGCTGTATATATATCTATTGCAAAGCATGGAATGTAGAATGACACGACACAGATTTTTTTCGGAAAAAACAGAGTCTATATACACTTCTGGCAGTGGAGAGTACATATAGATCATTCCAATCATTCAACCATGCTACAAATCGTGATGGTCACTTGTAAAGTTGGTTGTGGTATCACAAGAGAGTGAATGATAAACCCCTTTTTCTTCAGAATTGATTTCAAAGCCGTCAATTTGTGAGGCTCCTAGGCTAGTTTGCATACAAGGCCTTTTCATGCTTTGTAGCTTGATTTCATAGGCTTTGTTTGAGTCTTGAAATTTCAGAAGTGCTTAAATTGATTGAGTAGGGGGCTCTTCTCTGACTCATCTGTATGCGGTGATGAGCTGATATGCACGTCAATGAAAAAGGAGGGGAAGGTGTAGGGTATCTTGGACTCTGGAGTGTGAGGTGTAAATTAGTTTAATCAAGTGTATCAACTTTGAGACAGACAAGACCAGCAGCATCTCAAAAGTCAGACCGATTCCACACACAGTTTTGTCGATCCAAGTCTCCACACATCTAACGACCGTCTCATTCGGCATACATACACAGCATCCGCGTCAGATCTGAATTCATGATACCAGTCAGTCAACTTCCGAGATATTCTCGTTCTTCTCAAGCTCATTTGAACATATCTCCGTTCGACTCCTGTTTTTTATAGATCTTTCAAGTCGACGACTTATAACAATCATCGCTTTTGGTCTCCTCTTTCGAATCATTCGCTTCACGATATCATTCGATTTGGTCCTCTTGACCATCACTTGATCCATTCATTCAGATCAACATTATTATTTAGCATCCAATGGATAATTCTACGTCAGCCCTCTCCGAGGAAATGAAAAAGCACGATGCCGTTCAAGTCGCGATGATGGAGGAATGCTTGATTCTTGTCGATCAGGAAGATAATCCGATTGGAGTAGAAAGTAAAAAGACATGCAAGTTGACTTCCAAAATGGTTTTCAATTCCATCAAGTCACGATTCTTCAGGGTTGAACACTTGACTGATGATCTTGGATCTTTTTAAATTGATCTTTTCGATTTGGTTCATTCATTCTCTGGTCTTTGAATAGGTCATCTAATGGCTAACATCTTGCCACCTCGCTCATTACTTCATCGGGCGTTCTCTTGTTTCTTGTTTCGCCCATCGGATGGAAAATTATTATTACAAAAACGAGCAAGTGAAAAGATTACCTTTCCAGACCTTTGGACCAACACATGTTGTAGTCACCCACTTGCTACCAAAGATGAGATGGAAATAGCTGATCACATTGGTTAGTATACTAAATCTTTGTATATCTTATCTTTCCTGCAAATCTCATATTTCATTCGGATTCTCATATGATTGCCGAATGTCTCTATTTTTCACTCAAGGTATCAGACGTGCTGCGCAAAGAAAACTTGAACACGAATTAGGCATCCAAGCTAGTCAAGTCCCCTTGTCAGACTTTGTCTTCCTTACCCGGATTCACTATTTGGCACCTAGTGATGGTCTATGGGGTGAACATGAAAGTACGTTTGCTCATAACAGCTTGATTTCGAATCTATTTCGAAGCTTCCTTGCCTGTGTAGATTGCTGACTTGAACTCTCATCAATTTGATCCCTTTGTACTAGTCGATTACATCTTTTTCATCACTGCTGAAGTAGACTTGGAAGTTAATCCTAATGAATGCTCCGACGTCGCTTGGGTCTCTCAATCTGAACTTCAGGATATGTTAAATGAACCAAGTATGTGACCAAGAAGCTGGCGCCATGCCTTGGATTACAATATTGATTGAAAAATCAGCCTACTGATGCAATTTCAATCTCACTTCACTCAGATAATGCCTTCACGCCTTGGTTCAAGTTGATCGTCGACCGTTTCCTTTTCCCGTGGTGGAAAGTACTTTTGGAGCGATCAACCGATAGCCCAGTTGATGCTCGAGCTCTGGCTGACGTACATGACAAGATCATCCATCGAATGAATGAAGCCAAGGAGGCAGATGTGATTGTCAATCACTCCGATGAAAAATGTCCTCTTGATGTGGCCCCTTCTGCAACGTCTGTTGCTGTTTAATAACCGTCAAAAAACTTGTGGAGAACATCATGACACTTTGCTCAAAAAGTCAATGGCCACTTGAATAAAGAAACACGAAGCTAACACAGATTCGAAGCACTAGCATTTATCTCCAAACATAATTTGTATATGAATACGCAATCCGTGATAATTCACATGTTGGCTATAGTGATCTCTTCTTGTATACACGTCATCTATATATGTATACGGACAACATGCATATTCAGCTATCGTGTAATCAAAAGAGGATCATACTTTGCTTCTTTACTGTATTCCCCAGGTAATGGACGTCTGAAGCAGAGTTGTGACGTCTAAATGGGAGCGTATCATTGTTACCCCTCGGTTAGCTAGAGTTGAAGCTCAGTAAAGCAAGGCCACAAAGCCACAGATTCCACCCATTAATATTCCTCTACATTTGACTATGTTTTGTTACTTGCAAGAGATGATTTCTATCTTTCTCTTCGCTTCTCATCTCATTGTGATGTCATATTTATCATTCAAAGATTGCGATAGCGTCACACTAGGTCACACTACATGCCGAGAGGTTCAGACATTCGAGCGTACGTGTTCAAACATTTATTCAAAGATGAGATTGATTTATCTGCCATCGAAACATGATCTTTTGACGCTGAAGTCATCTACGCGGAATCTTGACTTTATCCGATTGATAGTGGAAACTCGAACATTTAATTGCAGACAAACACCTGTATGACACTTCCGTTACGGGAGCTGCGTGGAGATGTAGGAACTGAGAACGTTGGAATAGTTCTTGGTCTGCACAAGTTACCATGACCATATAGTAACAAGATTGCAATTGGTTAAAACAGCTGATGATATCAAAACTTTGACTTGATCAGACCCAAACATATACAGTCTTACTGAACCATTCCCACAGCATTGGTTGCATATATCATGTGTGTGTGTGCGTACCAATGCGCTCACTATTGTGGAGATTTTGGTCTACAATACTGCTGCTGGTGTGTTTGGATTCTCGTCCTGACAATAGACGTCACGCTTCTGGTGTTCATCACACAGCTTGACAAACTTCAATTTAACTCAGAGAATATGTGGAATATATAATTGTCTATTTTGCAAACAGCTTTGCCAGTATGATAACATTGAAGCTTATCAGGTGAAAACAAGATGTGAGAACCAACAAGGGGCTTGATGGAGTGAGGCGAAGCAAGTTTTGTTTGACAACATTTGTAAGAGATTCAAAAGCAATTTCCAAACACATCTTGATGATTTCTTTCAAGTGGATATGCTAGAGAATCAAACAAGGCAATTCACAACTTTGCGAGGACAAGCAACCAATACCCTTCATGTCTAGAATCAAATTCTAACTGTATGGAAAACCGCGGTCCCAATGCTGTTTGTTCCTACACGGTCCACCCGTCCCATACTTCGCCTGGGAGAATGCAACGGGCACATCCTGTTGAGAAAAATGATGATCAGCTGCATTCAAGACACTTGACTCTTTCAGCCGGTATCACTGGTGTAGACCGCGACAAGTGAGTTGGGATAGAGGAAGATGTGATTTCTAAGGTTACTCACTTCTTGGTCTGCATGGAAGATGGATATGAATGAATGTGATTTTGTCGATCAGAAGTGTGTATCGATGGGTTCTGGTCATGATCAATAGATGAAATGACACCTACCTAGAATTCGGCGCTACTTGGCCACAAAAGTGTGTCATTGATTTATCTACGGGCGCAATACAAGCTGAAAGATGTGGAAAGTATAAGTGAGTGAGCAGCGGATGTCTTACACCGAGACGACCTACCATAACCAAATGCCTTCCCATTGCGAATAAGCTTCGTAAAATTAGGGCACTCTATGTCACCACCTATTATCCCTCGAGTTCCTGCGCCTGGAACTCGGGCGTTGCTGGGTATCAATGCGCCGTTGAGCGGAAGGCAGTACCGGAAAGCTGAAGGTGAAAACTTGGCGATCAGATTGGAGTACGAGTTTGATGGGAAGCACAGCACTCACATTGAGCTGTCGGGGGACAATCCTGGCATTGATAACGCACTTTGTCACTAGATGCACATTCTAATGAAAAAGCCAAGATTAATATGCTTATTAAGAGTGTATCATTTCACAGATGAGTGTCTAGCTCACCTCCCCCATTGATATTACCCACAAACCGAGCATTGCATACCAATGGAATCACATTGTCTCCTTGAGTATGACTAAGAGGGATTGAAGCTATGAAGCCTATTAACACCAACAACCGAGCTTTAGAAAACATTCTTTTTGAGAGTTCAAGATAGTATGTTCGAGGAAAAGACGCTGATAAGGTGATGGAGTGAGGCAGAATTTTTTATCACCAAGTGCTGCTGGATTTATAGCATCTAGAAAACCCAAGCCATGATAATCACTGGATATACTGTGCCGCGCCGAGGCAAACACGATCACATATTGAAGCGGTGCAACGTGGTGCAGAGCGTTGCGAGGTGCAGCGTGGGACTAACTAAGTCACTCCTGAGAGCGCGCGCGTGTCCTTCGGAGCCAGGCTCCGGGGGACGTCTTTGCAGTTCGTGGGCCTTGTGTCAAGCTAGAGCGTGGGATGATGTTGTTGTGCGTTCATTATCGAATGTGTGCCTCTACAAATATCCACCTTGAAAAAATCAATCTGCCATTCCTGAATCCTCACTCAGTCTCGGGCTTAGCCAGAGCTTCTTCAAGCATCAATCACATTCGAGAATTCCTTCAACCTTGTCCTTTGTCTTATCTTGCCCCATTTTTGCGAAAAGGCTTCCGAAGTGATCGCACTCGTCGCACCCCCAATTTGAGGCCGCTGTGATATGACGGGTGGGATGCAGGGCGCGCCAAAACGCACTGCGGACCCCACAATTTGATTTTGTTTACCTTATGAATCCATCGGTCGGACCTTCTCTACAATTTTATGAGGTGCACTAAGAAACCTGTTTCCTCATCGAGCACTCTTATCACAAACCAAAACTATCTTCTTATACCTCAAAGCTTGCTGCTCATTAACAACCTCAGACCTGAAATTTGTTTTGTCGTTTGTTCTTGTCAAGATTTCGGAATATATCCCGCAGCGTTCAACTCGTATTGAAAGACATCCACTCAGAACAATTATACAAAAGCACAGTGCCTCAGGTAACTGAATTCATGACCTATCAATCAGGTATTCCGAATCGACATTCGCCTCTTAATAGATTCAAATATCGCTGAAAGGCTTTTGTGGATACGGTCGGTGTTACATTATCATACACATGATGATCAAATCTTAAATTTCCAAGAGTTTTCCAAGTCTAAGAAGGAAGAAAACTCAATCTGATCAAAAGACTTATTCAAGATAAAGACAAAGCTCAAGATGATTTCATACTTCTTGAATGCACCATCGATTCACAACACTTAGCTTAAGAAAGCCCTATCTGCGCGGCAGAACGCGGCGGCGCAGATACATAGGGCTTTGTTAAGCTGATCACAACACGTTCCGGCGTTCGACTGCAGAGATCGATATCTATTCTTCTTGCTTCATTCCTTTGTGACTGCAAGCATTTTGAATCCTTACGTACAGGCAATTCCATAAATCCTACCCCAGCTTTACCGCTAATTTGCAGCCGCCTTGCGGTCAATATCGGACACAAGATATGATATCAAAATATACATACCTGTGGTTATCAGGGGCACAATGTAGTCTTTGCAGAAATTCAATCTGGAGCTTATCAAGCAAACAAGATTGCATATACAAACCAGAAAAGAGTTTTTGGAAATCATAGAAATAAGTTGAAGGTGAGGGTTGATCCTCATTACCCTGATGTCCATTAAGTCACTGCCCTATTCTCTGATTCAGCACGTATGTATGTGTCTTTTTTTTGATCGATCAAGATGGAAAAAGGCTGATTATTTATCCAGTGATTACTTAATTATTGGGTAAAAAAAAGACAAAAAGAAATCACGAAACAAAATAAACGTCAGTTTGATATCGACCTCGATCAAGAAGTGAAGAAGTCTAGAGCCAAGTTAAATCACATCTACGTAATGGGATATGATGGTCACTGCTTTTGAGGGCGTTTTTCGAAGCACTCACTACTCAGCTTATTAAATTCAGATTTTTTAGGATGAACTAAAGCTTGACTAAGATTTAATGGAAATGCTCCGAGGACGACAATGGATGGCGTTTGCAGCGGCGAGGACAGAGTCTAGAGATCTGGGGCAGTCCAACTGATCAAAAAAAAATTGGGGGCAAAGCTTGGGCAAGCGTTTTTTTTGAAATTGATGACATATACTCGAGGAAGGCGATGTAGAATCGTATTTTAGGGGGGTTGAGCTTGAACACCAATAGGTCTTTAATGTCGAGTACCCTCCCTCATCATCGATCAAACTCATCAGCATTCAACATGGATGCAAAAAAAAAATCAAAACTTAAATAATTTCGAGGCAGTACAGTTCACATACCAAGAGATGTCCAAATAATTCTTGATTGGGAATGAGATTGAAGGTCAATTTACATAGAAATGAATTTAAATCAAAGCAAAGGATTGATTCGATCGGGTTCACAACATACCAAATTTGTTTTTTGAGGGTCTTCAATCTGAAATCCGATTTTAGGAATCCCAATCGGTTTTTTTTCTTGTCATTCTTTTTGGACTCATTCATCCTATTCATCATCACACTGCGGGTCTTGATTGAGGGTTAATTTTAAAAGATGAGAGCGATTATGTATGAGGGATGGGGCAAGGAGGCTATGCAAGAGTTGTACAATCAACGTACTTCTATTTATGACGAGAATTAAGACTTCGACTCTGGCACTTGTCAACTTAACTTAATCCTTGTCAACTGGTCCTCCGACCGAGATTTCAAACCAAGAGCTTGATAAACTTGATCTTTCTCACGCTGCTTGATTTTTTTTTCTGCTTTTCGAAAAAGTCTTTACATTTCAATTGAATCTGGATCACCAATTAAATAAAATCCTTGATCAAATTGTAGAAAGACTTGACTCCTTTCTTTTCTATAGTCATTCAGTTTTCTACATATTCATCATCTTGTTCAAATCAAAAAGAGACCTACCTAAGCTTAAATTTCGTATTTATCAAACAGTTCATGAAGTTAATGAAAATCTAAGATAGCTAAAAACTTAAAAAGATCAAAAAGATTTCCCATTTGGCATTTATTGATACACACATTTTTTTTTACAAAAAAACTTTGCATCCTATCATAAGAAAACCATCTTCCGACTTTTATTCTCACGCTCCTCTCCATTTCGATTTCAGGATCACTATTAACGATCTGAATCTACCAGGCTTGACATTCAACGTTACTGTGTTTTTGTCTATCAATTTTTCCATTCGAGCGACGTGTGTGGCACCACAACTGAACTTTTTTGGAGTCTCTTGACTGAAAATTCTTCGACTTTCAAGAACCGTAGGATTATATTTGGGTTTGAAACTTTGACGCGTGGTTTGGTGATCAGGACGTGTGTTTTTTGAGGTGAAACCTTGTGTATGTCTCGTTTCGTTAGATTTGTTTACACCAATTTCCTTTTTGATTCTTTCTTGGGTGCTTTCTTTTGCAATTCTTTCCCTTTCTCTCAGTCTCTATTCGGTTTGCCTTACCCACGCCTTTTACTTTCGATCCTTGTCTCTCATCCTCCTCTTTGTTTTTTTAGCTCAATTAAGCATCATGACTTCATTCTCTCATGAAGTTGGATACAGTCGCAATTAAAGGAAGAGTTGAAGTCACCCTTGCTTTCCAAAGGATGTCATTATTTGCAATTTGTTGTTTACAGTCTCTGGGCTGAGCAACTCACAGCAAGCAAGCATTGATTGATTGATTTGATGAATCTTTGGATTATTTTTTACAAATCGTATTTCTCGATCTGTGGTTCAAATTTCATGTTTTGAAATATCATTAAAAAAAGAACCTGCGCAAGAAATCCTAAAAGGTCACTCTTTAGAATAAGAAACATCCTTAATTCGACTTAATTTTCTCTAGATATTATTCAAGTTTTGCGTAAGCATTAAACCCAAAGCGAAAGCTAAAAGAATTCACTACTTGAATTTCAAAAAAAAGTGATCTGTCTATAGGAGGCTTTTAATGATTTGATTTGATATTTTTTTTCGTTTTTCTTTGTGAGCACATTCGATATTTAAAATCCTCACTCTCTCGTTCTCTCTCGCTTTGAATATCTTCTTCTTTCTCAAGATTTCATTCTCCCTCTCCTCATTATCGATTGAATCTTGTGGGATAATTGTGAAACTGTTTGACTCTCTACCAAAATCCCAACTATCTTGTTCTATCAAATCACTTTTCTTTACCGCTCAATCGATTCGATTCATTTACAATTACCTTTTATCTGAGCTGCGTTGATCTTAACAGAACGCTTCAATAACATCACCTAACCACCACGCCCTTTTCTTTTGCACACATACGCACATTTATTATATATACAAAGTTTGTGCACAGGTGCCATATACTTTATTCATTTTGTATAGATTTTCAAAGAATCCCATAGTTTCTCTTATCACCGTAACTTCTTTGATTCAATTTCCTTGTGGTAGACTGTCCGCTCAATCTTTTGCTGTTGTGTCATTCCCGATCGTCTTCCTGAAGATTTGTTTATCTGATCTTCGCTTATCGTATACATATCCTCATCTTTTCTTTACTTGATTATCAATCCTTGATTTCTATCACACATTTTTCATCTTATACTTTTCTTTTTTCATTCTCAAGGTTGAGAGATCATACATATTTGGATTGTGTTTTTCTTTGGCATCCTTGTCTTTCTTTTCTTTTGGTGACTCTGGTCTCCGTAGCCCGGGTTAAATTCATCATTAAATCTAAATCTTACTCTTGGAACTCTTTTTCCCTTTTCTATCATAGTTTTCGTTTCTATCGAATTCTTACAGACCTACGAACTCACACGACATAAAGTATTTGAAGAAATTCAAAAGAAGTCATCAAAATCAAGATTATCATTTTGCGATTGGTTTGAAGCGTGCGAGTGTATTCACTTTAAGCATCATTAAAAGTCAAGGTGATTGGATAGTTTTGTTTTTGTTGAATGAGATTGATGAAACTGATTAGATATGAATTAAATTTGATAGGATGATAGAAATGAAAGTCGAAAGTATGGCTATGAATGAGTTTGGTAATAATGAGATTTCAGTGAATGGTGAGAATGTGATGAGTGGATGTTATTCAACACCTCAATCAGCACCACCAGCCAGCTCATCACAACCTTTACTTGAAGTTACTAATGTGAATATTGTACAAAATAAATTAAATAGTTCCAATCCGATTGATCACGTGAGTTTAGTCAAGATGAAGGTCACGTGTCTACTTAATCGTGTTTAATGATTTTGATTTTTGAAATTTAAATTTGTAGTCAGTCTTACCTTCACTTCATGAGTTACTTTCAACTGGAACATCAACTCAAGAACAACCACCACCACCACCACCAACTTCAACTCAGCAAGAACTTGAACAACAACAACAACAACAACATCAAGCAATAGACTCACAACAACATTCACCTGATCAACAATCTATCAATCAATCAAACTTAATATCAAACTTAATCAATAATAATCCTAATCATTCTCAACCTCAATCTCCTAATCCAAACTTATCAACTTATCATCATCAACAACAACATCAACCTACTTCATATCACCAGCAACCTGATAAACACTATCATTCATCTGATCTTCATTCTCACCAACATCATCAACATCAACATCCTCATCATCACCATCATCAACAGCATCCTCAAACACGTCATCAACCTCAAAATAGGATCAATCAAATCGGATTCTCTCCTTCAACTCTTCCTGGTTCATCTTCAGATCGAGCTCATTCTCCTCCTGCTCTTTGGTCTCATTCTCAAAGATCTCATCATCTTCATCACAATGATCCAAACCAACTCAGGCATCGTAGCATCTCTCTCTCAACTCCGACATCATCTCATTCTTCCAACAGTCTTGATCATGCTCCGTCTCACTCGATGGCTAGGATCTTACCATTGCCTTATGGACTCGCATCACCCGATCTACCTCACATGGAATCTCAATCAGCATTACACATGACCTCTCTACCTGAATTAGATCATAGATATCATCATCAACTTAGTGGTTCAGCTTCTCGTCGATATAGTCAAAAACTTATACATGGTTCATATGATACCTATCCTCCGTATGAATATCACACTTCGATTCCTCAGACTCATTTGCCACAAACTACGTTTGATTTCAATTCACGATTACCATCAAGTCCTTCACACGGTCTTTATAGATCAATTCCTCATCGTACATATG